GAATTTTTGTTATTTGCATTCATGTTGCACTTCAAATTTCAGCTGGTTCTTCAGAAATGCCAGAGGTTCTCCACTACTTGGGCTTTAGTTTAGGATGCTTTTGAGTAGCGACCAGGAAACAAAGCTATTTGTGTGTGTATGCGGGTTTTCCCCACATAAAAACCCAGCATGTGGGTTTTCCATTTACTCCTGTGAAAGAGAATTTACTGTTTGTCCTCCTGAGTGTTTTGTGCATCATGTACAGCAGGGTCCAGATCTCAAGTCATAAAAATAAATTTCAGTAATCTGTTTTGGTTTTTTTGCTAACTTTTTCTAATGTCTTTGTAAGGAAGAATAATGCTATTAAATAAAAACCCATGGAGAAAATATGTGGAATCTAGAGACTTTTCTGCATTGCACTAGCAATCATAAAAGTTACAAGTCCTCCTCCTCCTTCAACTACTTTATTTTATTCCTTTGAAATAGATGCTAAGAAATCATATGTAAAATATAGTAAAAGAATCTCAGGATGAACCCAGATGTTGAGACATGCCAGTGTCAAGACGTCTGCCTCTCCACCTTTTAACTAGTTACTTAATTACTTAACAGTTTCTGGTTTGGGATGACAGACAACTTTTAATCAATGTCAATATAGTAATTGTTCCTATCTTATCATTTCCCCACTAGTTTCTGATGTGACAGCTTATGAAACACCTGGGTGAAATCCAGATAGATTGTTTTCATCACCTTTCTATCAGCTATTTCCTTGGTCACCCTTTCAAAGAACTCACTTAGGTTAGTTTGGCAAATAAATATTACTTGGTGTTCAGGGTTTTTTCTGTGTGCCATCCTCTAACAAGCATACACTGTTTTTCTTAATGAATGATATGAGTGTTTTGCCCAGAGGACAGGTTGGTCTCTGAGGAGTTGCATTTTTCACTCAGGTTCATTTCTTGAGTAGAGTGGCTACTGTATGTAAGTAACCCTTTTCAAGTTGCTGGTCTGTAACAGCACAAGCTTCAGCAAGACAGTCTACTTCTGAAGGTCCAGGTGGATGCCACTCTGGTACCAAAGATAAGTGGGGGAGGGGAGGAGAAATCAACTTAAGAAATAGATCTGTTCAAGTATACTGATGATTGTTTAAGCTGACATGTCACCTGCTAGAGCAGCTTGTACAGGGAAAGCCTAGAAATCTCCTGTTTGCAATTTCAGCCAGTTTGTTGTGTTTTGCAGCTTGTTGAACACTGCTGGGCTCTGTAAGCATAGCAGAGAGAAATCAAATGTTAGTCTTCTGCTTCTGAAAGGTTAAAGTAACTAATGAAAACTGAAGGAAGAGCTGTTTCATGGGGTGGTGGTTTTTACCATCAGTATCCTGCATGCCACTAAATGTAAGGACAGGCTCCCCAGTGACAGTCCCTGGCAGGAGATCTGCCAGCTCTGTTCCACGCTCAGTGGGTGTCACCTTCCAGTTCTCTCTGCCTGCCTCCAGAGAAGGTGATCATGGAAGGGTGTGTGTTGGGGGATTCAGAGTGAGAATAAGAAGAGCATGTGATGCAGCTCCCAGCTGAGGGTTAGGATATCCACCTGTGGCATGAGAGGTCTCTGTGCTGCATGCACCCCATGCTGTCAATGTGTGTTATCATGAGTGTCACTGAAAGATCAAGCTCTTAAATTTGATCAGAAATCAGCTGCCTGGCCTGTGATTTTTAGAGGATGGCAGAGCTCAGGAAGGATTCAAAACCCTAGTTTTCCAGCAGTAACATTTCAAAATCCTTACCATGTTACCAGAAGGTGAATTTTCTCACATAACAAAGAAGTTATGACTGAAAAGAAGAAGATGGGGGATAATTTCTTGACCTCTCTTAGCAGCTGATTTTACTGATGTCCATGTTTAAGATTTCCTGAATCTTGTATCTAATTTCTAAAATCTAGTTCATACCAGGTGACACACAGTGTAATAAATCATTGGTATGCATTAAGTGGGTTTCTTTCACTTTGCAGTCTCCAATATCATTACAACTGACATTTTGTTGACTAACTCATTCAGGGGCTTTTCTCTGATATATGCTTACCCCAGTCCTTTAAGACTCCTATGCAAATTTATGGAAAGTTTAATGTTAACTTTTCTAGTGTTGAATTACTGGCCTGTTCTCCCATGCAAGGACGACAGGCCACATGACCTTCTTAAGTAAGGATGAAGGCTTGATATTACTTCTTTGACATAATGAAAATGCATACATTCTGCTAATGAAAGGTATTACTTGGAATTTAGTTCTGTAATTCAGTTCAAGTGTGTGGACATTAAATAACTCTCATAGTACAGAGTCACCAGTCAGAACCAATATATTAATTTCCATCCCTTTATAACTAAGGATCTTTTCCTACTATTTTATCCATTGATTATCCTTCTATTTCATCTCATAGAGAAGGACAAAATTTAATATAGTTCCTTAGATTTGAATTTAAATACATGTATGAACTGGCTTAATTAATCATCTGTGCATATGACTAACTGTATAATACCCACCAAACCAATTAAAAGATAACACTGTCAAAGGAACTTGGCAGTATATAATGGAGGCATGGGGGGTGGGAAATAAGAATAAAGACGTAGTGCTCATCCTGCAGAGCTTCTATGGCTGGTTTGCATGTCTGTTTCCCCAGGCAGCAGAGAATGCACACAGCACTGGATAAGATACAGTCCTTGAGTCTGAGAATTAACATAGAGTTTTAAGATCTCTAATTACACCCACTGTACTGTGTTTCTGTAAATAATTTAACTTATTTGTATGAAGGAATAGATATAGAAAAGTTATACTCATTTTTTATATAAGGTAAAATTATAATATCCAGGCAGTCAAGGCTTGCCTCCCATGTCCACATCCTCAGCTCACTCACAGTCCATAAATTTTTTAAAGATTACTTTATCTTTCTATCCACTTTTTTTAATGACAGTGGTACAAATACAGACTGGATCTTCCTGTAGTTTTTAGTTCCAAACAATAACTATTGTAAAAGCAATAAAACTTGGGGGGAGGGGATGAAAGAGGGACAAAGAAATTCTTTACCCCATACATGATTCGTAATTAGCAACTGCACGCTGCTTTGGCATCATTAGACGGAGTGAGTCTAAAAAGAATGTGACGTTTCTTCTGTGTCACTTTAGCATGACAAGATTTACTGTAATGCTGAAGGATAAATTTCAGTAGTATCTTTCTGTGCTAATTAATTGTAAATGTTACTCTGCAAATTATGTCGTTTTCATGGAGGCAGGAAGGATTCTATGTGATTCTAGTTGCCATATAAATAAATAAAAAAGGAATGATAGGGCATGCTACACATACTCCCAAAAGTCTTATTGAAATGACATTGTTTAGAATACTGATATAAAGTGCCTTTGTATCAGGTAAAAAATTGTTATGTAATTGAGGTAAGTGTTAATTCTACTTCAGTGGACATTTCAGACACAAGTCTCCAGGGAAACCCAATCCCAAATAAGAAATAAAATCAGCTGCAAATGAGGCTCAGCTTTTTACTGTGCTTTTCCAAATACAGATTATCCTTAAATACAGCCCCAGGTTTGTGGCATCCACTGTGCTAGCAAGCCATGCAGATTTTACATACTGCAGCAGGCTGCCATTCAGAAATAAATAAAATGAATAAAGTGCAAACTCGAGCTTCTCTCCATGGCAACCACTGCATCGCTTGAGCTTTGTGCCACTTCCTGAACAACTGCACAGTGGAAAATAAGCCAACAGCCAGCACAGGGAAAAATAATAGGGAGAGGCACATAAAATCTGCTCAGGCTGTCAGGCACAGTCTTTGTATAGACTGTTTAGGGCTGCGTTTTTAACTTTGTTTCAGTATGTTCTGTAGTAGGTTCTGGTTTGTCCTCACTGTGGCACGGGGGACAAAAGATGGGTGACCGATGGGAGAACTAAAGCTGGGATGATACAGACTCTTCTTTCCAGCAGTGGCCTCATGCAACAGCCTTGCCCCACTGCAGGTCTGGTGGCAGGAGGCAGGGCAGGAGGAAGGGCAGGCTGCTCCTGGATCTTTCCAGAGCCATCAGCATCAGGGCACTGCAGCAGTTCTTCCCAAACACATATGGAGCTGTACTTGAAAACAAGCCACAACAGCCAGGCAGCAAAGCAGGTTGTGGCAACAAGTAACACAAGTCTCCGAACTGTATCCAGCCCTGCAAAGGTTGTCAGTTGTACTTAGCCTCTCCCACTGATCCCTTAAAAAGTAAAATGGGACATAGTGAAGTGGCTAAACTGTCCCCGCTCAGGACAATGTTCTCTCATTCAAAATGTCCTGGAGAAAGGGCCCCAAAACATGGCTGGGTGCTGCCTGATGGGAGGCCAGGTGGGAAGGCTTTGGCCAGTTCCAAGTGAATAGTCAAACTCCATGGAGGAAATTGGAACAGTATTTACACACCTGCCCCAATCCGCTTTACAAGTTTCCAGAAAAATATGTTGGAAACAGATAGACGTCGGGATGCTTAAACACAGGCTATGCTTTTTTACAGTTTTGCACTTTGAGCCGAGACACTCAAGCATGGTTGGAAGACCAAGCTGCTGGAAGGGACAGACTTGATTTGCATTCAGAGCACTGATTTCAATAGGAATAGGTTGGGAGTTCTCTAGAAAACTTCTTGTCTCACTTCAGAGATGTGATTCTTTCGATGTTTGTGATGCTGTTCCTGCTTAATAAAGTTCATAGTGTAATTAGATACAATAGTGCCTCATGCGGTGTCAAAGTTTATGACCCATAACTACCAACTCCACCATATGGAGTCTAATAGGTTTCTCTGCCAAAGCATCCTACATGCTCATCAGTATTAGTTTTTTTGGTACTTGATTCTATATGAGAGATGGAAACTTTATATTCAGACTTTATAAGTGTACACAAGCAAGTGTACATAAGTGTATTAAGTGTGCACTTTGCACCAATATGTATACATGCACTCTTCTTTAGCCCATTTAGAAACCTAAAAATAACAACATTTTCAAAAGTGATTGTTTTAAATCCATTTTATGTTCTATATAAAATGTTAAGCCCATTTTATGTTATACAAGCCTTTTCTTACACTTTACAAATGTGCTACATTGCTAACTTACCACCACTGTGACAAACATCAACTGGTGCTGAATCAGGAAATAAGTGACTATTGAGAGAATTAATGCAGGGATGAGGAAAAAAAACCAACTCTCTCCTTTTTAGTTAGGAATAAATTGACTATAAATGTCTTTGCAGAATACTTTCTTATCAGATCAACAGGTCAATTTGCCAAGTGAGTGTCCTAGTCACTGGATTAGAGAAACACACTCTTCAGGGGTCACTGAGTATTTAATTATTTAAACAAGATGAAACAGCTCCAACTAAAGAGAAAAATAACATTAGCCTGCTGGTTAGGGTACTCAGCTGTCATTAAGAGATGTAGAGTCACGTCCCTGCATTAAGGCAAGCATTGTATAGACACCAAGCAGGACATCTGACCATTTGCCTTTTGGCTGTTCTTTAATAGCAGTGTTTACATGTCAACTTCCTCATGAAAATTTTTGATTTTTTTATTTTTGCTCCAATGAAGATTAAGACCCAAGCTTCATTTAAAAAGTATTATTTACGAAGAAGAAGAAGCTGGCTAGCTAGACATTCTGATTAATTTTCAGAAACAATTTTAAGTCTTTCCCTACTGAATATGCAAAATTTGGTGGATTTAGTCAATTTAATTTAATAAGGGAGTGTAAATATGTCTGTGTATCACTGGGACAAGGGGAGGTCAAAGATGTCATGAGGAGAGGAGTCAGCAATATCACTTTACTGATGACATTGTCTGGCAGCTATTTGGGATTTTTTTTCCAGTTTAAAGGAACATCTTCATAGCTGCAGTTTATGGCCCATTTTCTGTAGGCAAACACTGAGCAGCATTGCTCTTCTACCATGCCTTGTACTACTCAGAGATGCTCTCTGCTAGATGAACTGCTGCACTTAGAGTCAGCCAAGGTCTCTTCTTTGTTGGACTCCTGCAGATTCAGGTAAAGTGGCAGCCTGCTGGGAAAAGCAGAGGAAACAGCTGAAGACAGTGCTTGAATGTCTTCCCATTACCACTGAGGGCTATTCAAACATGTGTCTTCCTTGTTTCAGGTCATAGCTGTATGGTACTTTTGTACCCATAATCAAGTACATATGTCATGCTTAATACAGACATTATAGAAAGCTGTGCCGTTTAGGGTGAGTATTTTACAGGTTGGCTGTGACAGCTCTGTGCTATAGCATAATTCTTGAAAGTTTTTCTAACATAATTTCTTGGAGGAACAGAAAATAGATAACACATAATTAGGGTGGAACTTACGGATCTTTTGAGATGCATGTAATAGCAGGCTCAAGATGTGGAAACTTTTCCTTTTATTAGTGTGAGGGCCATATGAAACTCATTGACTTCAGAAAGAGCTGTATTTTTATGTCCAAAGGTAGATTTGAGACTTCAAGACATAGTTTATGTGTGTTATCCTCATATGGTTCCTGGAAATCACTGTAATGGGTGTTTTACAGAGATGTGTACAAAAGCTCAAAATCACTTCAAAGCGCAGTTACTCTTTGAAGTATCCATCTAAGACTAATCATCTTATCAAAATTCGAAGTGACACACTGAAGTAGCCATTTGGATGCTGCATTGAGATAATAAATGTTCAGAATAAGACTTAATTTGTATGACTACACTGCTCTAATGTCTCTGAAAATCACATACACATCTTGAGCCCCTTTTAAACTAGTTTTGTAGGTACTGGTTGCGGACCAGCCATTGTAGACTACAGCTTTGTGGGACTTACTCAGGGCACCTCTGTATTTGTACCCTGTGCTCAGTGTTTTGCACCAGCAGCAAAACATCTGGAAACACCAGCTTGGAGGAGTTGTTGCTGGTTGCAATGTAATCAGAAACTTTGTGGGAAGTTGAGGGAACCAGTTTTGGTTCTGGGTCTGAAACACTATTTTCTAGCTAGAGACAAGATTGTTCTGTCTTGCTCCAGGGCAAATGAAAGCTACTAGAATGTGTCTAACAGCATGCTGACCCCAAGCTAATACAGCCTCCCTTGCCAGAGCCTTATTAGCTCAGACTCATCACCATGCTAATTGCTTTTCATATCTTACAAACATAAGCTACGCAGAATGGACAAATGAACACATGTCTGCTTATAAATAACTATTCAGACATTGAATGAGCCAGATTGTCTGGTGGAAATGGAAGTGAGACACAGACTCTTCTTGAGCCCAACTGTTTACTCTGGTTTTCCTATAAAAGCCTGAATACTGTGTGTCTCAGAATGTGAAAGGAATTTGGAACACCAAATTACATTAGCTGAGTTTTCCTCTGGTTCTTTTTCATCTCCGTGGAAAGCATCCCAAATCTCAGGTTTCCACTTGGTATAAAAGAGCAACAGTAAATCCTTTTGTGTGATTTGTCTGTTGAAACAGAGAAATAACTAGAGACTGTTTATTAGTCTATGAAGAGCAACTGACTCATTGTTTTGGTCTTTAATGGTTCTTTTGTGCTCTTAGCTTGTCTGAATAGTGCATTAACCAGGGATTTGGGAGACCTAGTTACTAATGTAGCCCATGACATGATTTCTGGCAACAAAACCTGACTTCACTGTTTCCCAATTCATAAATTATGAATAATGACACCAGCTACCAATTGCCATCAAGAAATCTGAGATGTAGTGATGATGAGAGAGATATATTCTAGAGAGAGCTATTATTATAATCATTAATTATTTCAAATAATTGATGGCTAATATTTAGTGCATTTAAGTATTAAGATAGGAAATTTTACAGATATCTTGAGAGGGCTGCTCAGTGCAAAACATTAGAAACAGATTTGAAGGAGTAAATTAAATAGGTGGAAAAATGCCTACCTTGTGTCTCTGGAGGGAATTTTCTACTCCCTACCTCATACAGTATGTTAAAGATGAACAAAAGTAGTGACAAAATGTTAGTTCCTGAGGGAATGTTAGTGCAGATCTGAGATCTAAATCTCTGGACTCTTACTTAGGTGGAAATATGATTAGATCCTGCTTAGATAGAGAGGAGGCATTCATGTATATATATAGTCAGACCAGCTTTGAGAATCTAGATCCCCTTGTAAATCTAACCCTGAAAATGAATTCTCTAAGTTTGAAATAGGAACAATTATTTGTCAAAATGATTGCTTAAATTCTGGTATCTCACATCTGTGTTAGTGCCAGAACAGACATGAACCATATTTCTTCTCAGCATCAATTCATAGTCAATTATGAGCAAACATGAACTTCACGAGAGTAATACAAATGTATGCACAGTCATGCAAGAGAGGAAGCAGATAGGAATAAATGCCTGCAGAAAAGGAGACTAATACACAGAAAGTTTCTGAGACCCTTTTCATCTTTGCAGCTTTCAATCTTATATTTCCATTAGAGAAGAAAATGCAAGAAGGAAAAACAAAAGAAGGAATTGGTGGATGAATTTTGAAACAGTATGTAATGCAGTACAGGTTGCCTTTAGCTCCATGTTAATGTTTTTCACAAGCCAAAACATTTTTTTTTTTTTTTGCTGAAAAGTAAAAAAGAAAATCTCATAAATGAAGGTTGGGAGGAGAGAGAGAAGAACTGCTTCGTTTCTTTAGCAATAGTTTGGCAACAGCTGTAGCACAGCTGAGTTCTTATAAGTGTAGTGGGAAAAAGCTACACCATTAATGGTAATTTATCTTATGTTCTCCAGTCTGTGACTATTATCTAAGTGCTTTGTGCCAAATGTAATAAAATGGCCAGATTTCTCATTACAGAAAGCATAAATTGCTTAAGGCGAATATATTATGAGGAAAACTGTCAGTGTCATAATTGTGCACTCCTGTCACTAAATTCCATAAAATATATACATTTATGAATATGCTAACCCTAAACCCATTTACTGGTAGAGTAACCGGAAGTGTGTGCACTGGGAATGTTTTATTCTTTTTGTCATTTTTATTGCTACATAGCCTGTAGAGATCACACATTGCAATATATTTGAAAAATATTACAAATAGGTCAGTATGCCACTATTTGCCCAGTCACAGTCAGACACTTGTAATAATATCATTTTAGAAATTACAAAATCATTTGGGCAATAAATTAACTTGCTATTCAAGGGAAATAAAAATAAGTCGATGTAAGTTAGGTCTTTGTTAAAAATATGAAGTCAGCTGGTTTTACTGATGAAACACATCCTTCTTATATATAAATCTTTTAAATGCTTCAGGTGATAGTCATCAAAGAAATACTGACTAAGATCATTTTAGCAGTTCAATATTAATAAGTAGCTAGCTTTCACACATTGAAATTAAAATACTATTTATTATGAAAGTCATTACATTTTGGTATTTTAAAAACAGCACTTGTATACTCTGAATAACTTGAGCTTTGGTATCTCCAACAGGAGTAGTTCCTAACCATAAGAGTGAAAACATAGTCAACCAATCTAAATTTGCTCAGTTTTAGGAATGTTTACAAAAACCATGATGAAATTATCACGTATGAAATAAAATGATGCATCAGAAATAAATTTCCCCACATAAGAAGTCTTGAGAAGATGTGGATAGGGTAGAAAGAAGGACTGTGGAAACTCAGAAAGAGGAAAGGGAAGAACTCCAAATTCTTCTTGGCCACTGCCAATAAATGAGTTCTGTGTTATTCAAGTTACCATCCTAGTTACCAGGAAGGAATTTGAGATGAAATGGATGAAAAATAGAAAACAGAGTTTCCATCTTCAAGAAAAATTAGAGGAGAATGAGCCACAAGGAATGTATCCACCAAGTATTTTAATACTTCACAGCTCTCTGTTGAATGATCCATCCATCTGCATGCTAGAGGGACTTGCTTTCCCCAAACTCTTGTTACATCAGTAGGAGCTGGAATATGCTCCAGTCTCAGTTTTAAATGAGAGACACTGCTCAACTGACCTATGCACCCAAAGCTGCCTGGCCCTGAAGTTAGCCAAGATGCTAGAGCAGAGAAGAAGGAATAAGATTGCATGTACAAATTAAAACTGTACTTTCTTGATTTATCATTCAGTTCTTTAGCTTCACTTACAATTTTGAAATCAAGAAAATGACTGTTTTTCTCCTGTCAGTATGTTTAGAATTACCTTAGGTAATGCTGGCAAGCACAAATGTCTTGGACAAAACTTAATTCGGGATTAAAATGTAAAATATAGATGTCTACAGTCGAATTAGATGTCTGAGTTCCCAGGATGGTCAGTGAAGGCCTCATCACTGGCCTCAGCTCACAGTACAGATTCTATTGACTGTATTGAATGAATCTAAGTATGTGGCACCTCAGATGCCTAAGGCACATGTAGATGCCTTCATTAAGTGTGTGGTTATTATGGGTGAATTAAATCTCACCTATAATTTCTTAACCAAAGAATAACAAATTATAGCCAGATGTTTAGAAATTTTTTGCTTCAATACACCACGGTGAGGTGGCTGTAAGGGCTGTTGCTGCTCTTAACATTCCAGCATGGGGTAGATATTGTATCTGCATCTACGCAGAAACACGCCCAGGAATAGTGCTGGGCAGTGAAAGCATGTGGCATGGTCTGACCCACCTTTTCTTAGTAAATGTGTCAACCTCCAAAATTTGCCTGTACAGATTGATGTGAGCATAATAAGTATCCATTGGAAATGGCGGAGGTCTGTTCATCTCCCTGCAGCATTCTGATCCCACACCACTACTGGCAACACTGTAGGACATTGTTTTTTTTGCTAGAGGCTCAGGCAAAAAACACGCAGCAGACCAATCTAACAATTTATCCCCATATCTGACTACACGTCAGAGCCTGGGGGTGTTCCTGGGCATTGTTTATTAGTGTACTTACAGGTTGTAGATGGTACTTCATCTATATAACTTGCAGGTGTTTCCTTTGAATCCAGCATGATCCAGCTGGACTGGAAGAGTGTTACAGTGCTGTGAATAAAATAAAGCAGTTTTGTTTCAGATGAAGAAAAAATCCACAAACACCAATCCAAGAAATCAAGAAAAGAGGTTCATATGGCTTTGTTTCCACCTATCTTCCATAGCTTATGATAACTCACTTATTGGTACAATGATGCAACCTTTCTCAGGATTTTCTAGTAATGCGCACAGAACAAGTGGCATGGGAAGGTGAATGGTGCCATGGAAACAGAATTTAGGCATCACCTCGAGCAGGATGGTAGCGTAGTATAGGACTAACAAAAACATATATAATGATGTTAAATATGGTCTAATGTGAGTGATTTTTACATGGAAATAGAAGATAACTTAATAAATTTACGTTTGCCCATTTTCCAGCCCCACCCCCCTTCCCTCCCAAAAAACCTTATCTCGCAGGACAGTGAAATATGAGATTGCTATTCTACAGTGCCATGCATACTGACTTACAGAGGTAATGGGTATATTTTGGTATTATATTTGAATACATTCTCAAGTCATAATTCTTTTCACTGTTTTTACTGTAGAAATAATACAGTTAGCTTGAAGTGTGCTGGAAATCTCTCTCATCATTGACTTCAGTGCAAACTTAAATTATGACAGCTGATAAAAAACCAATTAAACTTAAGTGGTCCTATGCAGACAGCCTAGTCCAAGGAAAAACACTAGCTTTTGTAGTAAAATATGGATTAGGTGAATAGCAATTTTTTTTTAATACTTATATTACCACCTTCTTTTAAAATTACTTCAATTTAAAAGAAAAGTAGATTGTTTTCCTTGTTTCATTCTTTTGTTTGCTTTGCACATTACCTTTTTCTCCAAGTGTCACCGAAGTGTTCACCTACCAACAGATTTTGGCATCTGTGTGCTGAATCTAGTCTTTATGTTGCAATGTCTTTACTGGGAACATCTCTCTGCATGTTTGAGATTCTCCATTTAGCTATTATGATCTATAAATAGCAACATTTTGGTAAAATAAAATTCTGTATGATGAATTTCTGTCCCTAATAATTTTGAATGGGCTGTCACAGTATGCTAGGATGCCTAGAATGGGTGCTTTAGGATCTAGGACATGAAAATTAAGCCAGTTCCTTGGTATTTTATTTTATAACCTTCACATTTGCAATCATTATATTTATGAGACTGCAAGCTGGAGACGGGCAAACAGAGATCAGGGGAGGTGTAAGGGCATGAACTGTCTCAGTGTGTGGGAGCAGCTGCTGCCTCAGGGGCTGTCCGGGCAATGAGCAGCTGTAGCGAACAGGTGGACGGACACACAGCCCTTCCATGAGCATTGCACATCCCATCCCACTCCATCCCACTTCATATCAGCACTGCTTTCAGTGGGCCTGTTGCAGCCACTTTGTCAAGGAAGACCTGACAAATAGAGACTTGTGAGATATCTGAAGAGTGTAGCTGTGTCTTGCACTACAGGGATTGAGTAGCTGAGTCAGAAAGACTGTCACTTATACAAGGTTCCAAATCAAACCAGCAGCAAAACCAATAAGTTTTTTATTCACAGCCTTCCCTCATTTGACCAGATGTTGCCACTTCATCATTCTTTTCTCTTTACTCTTTTTTCTTTTCTCTTTTTTTTTTTTTTCCGCTTCAGAAATTTAACTGCAATTGTGAATTTTAACTCATCTCATTTTGACAGGACAGGGCATGAGAGTCTCGACATGCACTGGAAGGCATGGCCAGTGGAACTACCTTGTCTCTGGAAAATTGAGAATAGGATATTGAACTTAGTTTTGTGTATTAAATGAAATATTTATCACAAGATAGGGGAAAAGGATGTTGAAAGGTCAAATTTTCCATTATGGTCTAGCACAGAAAGGACAGCATAGCTCTTCAGAGAATAGCTGAGGTAAAAATATTACTTTATTCTTAACCTTACCCTGCAGACTCTTCATTTGTTTCAGCAAACTGCACCCTATTGCTATTCAGACCCTTAGTTCCATTGACATTCACCTGCAAGAGCAATGTTTCACAATTTCTACTTATTGTTTTTCCTTTCATTAATTCTTCCACACTTCAGATGTGCTTTTTCTGCATTCTCAAATGCATTTCTGTGAAAGTGAGATCTTTACAAAGGGAGTTGTGTAGCTTTTTCCACTCTCTGATTAATTGTAAACAAGTGTTTTCCTTTTAAAAAATGTATGAATCTTCTCCTCATTCGTACCTGATAAAAGTTAAAACTTTTTCTGAAACTTTTAGGTGACCTGTCTGCAGCCTATGGGCTGGGAAAAAAACCTGAAAAATATATTTTTCAGCTTTCTGGTTGCTCAGCCATACATAACTAGAGCCTTCACATTTTTTAAGCATTTCAGACTTTCAGTCAATGTTGTGTTTGACTGCTGTCCATCCTTTCTTTGCATTTGATCATTGTCATCAGCTCATATTTGGTTTTAGGAATGAAAGAACCTCTTCATGAACTAAGAGATCTTTTATCATGAGTTTCTTTTCTAGCAATTAAAACAATATTCTCCTTCTCTTGGGCTTCCCTTTGCATATTTCTATACCTTACAGGGTACGATTAACCTCTTTTTTTTGTTTTATTTTTCCTTTAAGGCTTTGTAGTTTGACTTGTTCATGTTGCTTTTGTCCATGGAAAGCTCACACCCCAAGTCTGGCATCTGGTCCTTTTTTGCACAAAACACGAAAAATGTAGAAAATCATCTCCCTGTTACAAATGTATCACCCTCCAAATAGAAGAGAGAGAATGGAGATGGTATGTACTGCAAATATACCATCATCAGAAAAGGAAAGAAGAAGATGGTCAAAAGATGGTCAGAAAGCAAAAGACAAGTTCCAGGTTTTTTAGTACAGTGCAATCTGTATGAATCATGAAGAAGAGTTATCAGTAGGAATGCCAGAATAGCAAGGAAGAGAGAGCACTAAAATGAAAAAAAAAAAAAATGAAAAAGGGAAATTTATAGAAAAGGACTGTGAATTGACCACATTTCATGTAATTTAGATTTTAATTTTGATGTATGGTAATGGAAAGTTGGATGTAAACATTTTGTTATAACAGAAGTAGGCCCCAAGCAAGTAGTGACTCAGGTTAAGGGGTATTCTGAAAACTACTCTGAGATCTAAGAAAGCAGCAATTGGAAAGACCTATTATTTGTCAGTGAGTCATTTCTAATGCAGAATATTATCTCCCTAATGTATTTTTCCATGGACTTAGTTTCTTGGAAAACAATTTAAGCAAATTTTTAAATTTTGAAAAGCTGGCTTCAAGGTTTTGTTTTGTTTTTCTCACAAACTTGGCTTTGCCTAGAAAAAGCAAGACATTTGGCATATCTAAAGACAGAGGTGTCAGGACTCCAGCCATGTAGTAAACTAAATTCTATTTTTATTGTTAATGATTGAAAGTAGAAAAACAAAAAGCACGTGTTAGAACTTTAGAACCCACACAGACTCCCCAAAATTCACAGTCATTCAGCAAGGAGAAGCTATTGCCAATTGAAAAAAAATGACAGGTTCATTTTGGCCAAAAGTGGTTTTTTTGTATGCCAGTTACAAGACTGATACTAAAAGATACCTGAAACTTAAAACTAATGGGAAAACAAAACAATTCCCTATAAGTTTTTTGGAAGTCGCTTTTTAATCTTCAGATTTTTTATCAGATTTAACTGATTTTGAGTTGGAAAGTCCTTCCCATTGTCTTCAGATAGACTTTTAATAATTAATAGGTAAGGTTGATATCTACTCTTTAAGTAGCCATCTAGACAAACAAAGACCCTCTGTCCCTTAGATCAGATTAGGTTCAGTTACATGTACTGCTTTCATGTCCCAGATATCTTAGTGTCCTTTTGTATTTAGTTCTTTACCCTGGTGAAGGAGATGGACAGCACTGCATTCTTCTGTGATACAGTGATATTGTTATTTAGAGTAAAGAGGTAAACTGATGTCTCACATAAGCACTGAGTTACCAGTCATCAGATTCTGTTAATAGCCAAGAGTTAAAGTGTCTTCGTTTCTTAGACTTATACTAGTTCCTTTTAAAAGACATTCTTACTTGTATTCAGCATTATTCTCCACATTCTTTTTCTACAAATACGCTTTTCCATTTCCTTTCAGACAAACTCTGATTTATTTGCTTTTTTTGGAGGCTACACTTTTTTCCTTTTTTTTTTTCCTGACACATTTTTTGCACAAGTAAAATCTACCTAGGAATTACAGTTCACTTCATGAAGGATATTGTAATTATTTTTAATTCTATTTCAATATAAAACCCTCCAAATTTTAAAATTTTTCAGCTAGAAAAATTCTATCAGACTGGGTATTTCCTATGCCAAGTCTGTCTCGGAGCTGCAAACGCTGCTTTGCTTGGTCTCTGGGCTGCAGCTGCACTCCTAAAGAACAGAGGAAGGGACCCAAGGGAAAATTAATTTGTTGCTAAATTCTGGTGAAGCTTTGTTGAGATCAAAATATCTTCATAAAACGTCCTGACTCCAGGGAACAGCAGCCAGAAAATGCTGCATATTTTCTGATCTGCGCTGGTGTTAAAAAGATGCCTTTTGGTTTTGCCATGAAGACTTGGGTTTTGAAAGCACTTTATTGGTATGAACTATTTCATCTGCTCATGAACTGTCTTTTATCTCATATGCTCATATGTTTAAATGCCAGGGAATGTTAATTACTTAAAATTTAATAAGACAATTAATTAAGGCAAAGCATAAGTACAAAGTCAGAATGTCTGTTGCTCGTCTCAGCAGATAATTGATAGCTTTGAAATACTAACAAAAGCCAAGCTTTAGACATACAAGGCTATTATAGGGCCTATTATTTAATGGAGAGGTGAGTTATGGGAACATACTCAAAAAAAATTATCTTCATATAGAAACCACCAAGATTAATCTGGAGCCATAAGAAAAACAATAGATACATTAAAAAAATCTTAAGAAGGAAGCTAAGGAAGCGGTACATGAAGTGAAATCTCAGCAATGAAAGTAGTCTGGACACGTAATTAGGATGATGAAAGACCC